AAATAACAAACCTATTTTGTTATAAATATTAAGATATATAAAATTTTTAGCGTATTAAACACGATTATTCAAAAACTGAGAATGAAAACTGAAAATTATTTATTACAGAAAAAAGAAAAAACACCAAATTTGATTTTATTATATTAATAGTATATCATAATATTAAATAATTATATTAGAGTTGACATTCAATCAAAGCATTTAAATTAAACGGTTTCAAGGGGATAATCTAATTGCACTACGAGTTAAATTATTCTATTTGATTTATTTCATTTTGATTAAAAGCAAATTTAATTATGTAATTAATTAAACTCAACTTTTTAGTAATATCCTTGATATTATTTAATAAAATCGTGTTTCAATTTTTATTATAAAATTCATTTTTCTATTATAAAAGGATATATATAGTATTAGGATAAAAGGAAAGTGCAAACTAACAAAAGAAAACCGGTCATCGAGTTTCCCGTAGGCGAGAATATGTCAATGGTTTTTTTTGTGGTTGTAAGGGAACTGCGAGCATTGTGGTCATTAAAACACCCAGAAAAAATAACGGAAGATAATGGATACTGAGGCAGCGTTGCCACACTTATCTTATTATTTTTTTGGAGCTTATAAATGTAGTAAGACTTATCATTACACGATTTTATGATAACCTAATTAAAAAAATGTGTGTGCACTATGTGCGCATATTTGAAGTGCAACTTCTTACTAACAGTTATTAAATTGAAGGATTTGTAGAATATATATTTTTTATGAATACTTTTCATAAACTTCAGAAAAATTAGTGTTAATATAAAACCGTATACTATTCTAGCATTATAATTTATTAAAAAACGATAATTCTATCACTTAAACTGAAATACTACTACATCTATATCTCTGACCACTACTAACTGCTACTAACCAACAATTTGTTTTGTGTAGTCTGTGGTCTGTTTTTGTCCGCGTTAAACCACAAATAAAATCATGCATTTACTTCATGGATTTTTTTCTTGTACATATACTTTATAGATAGAGCTAGTGAGCTTTAAAATTGCACTATTTAAATTGTATTTCGAAAATTAATAGTTTTAGAGCTATTTCAGATGAAGGTTTTCAATTGTCGATGTTATGGGAATTTTATATAACCTTTCAAAATATATTACTTTCATCAAAAGGCATTTCATTAAAAATGTCTCTCGCAAATTATGTCGTATTTTTTCAGAAAAGAATGCTCAAAAGTTCAGCCACTTATGTAAAACAACCAACTGGGATACCAGCTCTTATGATGTCGACACCGAATTTTCTATTTTCGTAAAAACATTAACCAGTCTAGCGTTCAAATCCTTTCCTCTTAGGCCTATAAAAAATAAGCATAATAAACCTTGGACCACTAAAGATCTACGCATATCTTCTAAAAACATGCGTTCATTATCTCACTTAAAAAAATTCGCAGACAGTCTCTTCTTCCACAATTACGTAAAACTATACAGAAAAATTTATCATAAGACTATAAGAGCCGCTAAGGACCTTTATTATAATAGGAGAATAGTCAATTCTAGTAATGTTGCTAAGGAAACATGGTCTATTGTGAATGAGTTGAGAAACAAAGCTTCTTCGTCTAGCAATATCTCTACCTCGCCTGAGAACCTTAACGATTACTTTGTAAATGTAGCGAAAAACTTAACTAATACCATATGTCCTCCTCATGATCCACTTTCTTATCTCTCTAATGATAATGTAAACTTACACACACTTAATACCATCAAAAATAAATCCTCTTCTGGGACCGACGGGCTAACTTTAAAAATGTTTTCGAATCTGCCAGAAAGCACTCTGAATCACCTAACAACTTTAATAAACATGTCGTTCCAAAATGGTATTTTTCCAAAATGTCTTAAGACGGCAATAATCATTCCTCTGCACAAAGGAGGAGACAAAGATGAAGCTTCTAACTATCGCCCAATTGCACTCCTTCCAACGCTATCTAAGATCATAGAAAGGTTGGTTAAAAGAAGGCTGGTATCTTTTCTGTTTAAGTACAAAATACTTACTGAATATCAATTTGGATTTCTAAGCAACAAGTCCACAAATGACGCTATGTTTTCCCTCCTTAATAAAGTTTACTCCAGCCTAAACAACCATCATTCTACAGCAACAATTTTCTGTGATTTTTCTAAGGCGTTCGATTGTGTAAGTCATAAGATCCTAATTAATAAACTGCAGCACTATGGGTTCAGGGGATGATCTCTCGAATGGTTTAAGTCGTATCTGAGCAACAGAAGTCAACTTGTGAGGGTGGATACCACGTTGTCTTCTAGCAAGCCAATAGAATGTGGAGTACTACAAGGCTCAGTACTAGGCCCTATTTTGTTTCTTATTTTTATTAACGACATTGCTAACATAAACATCAGTGGCAAAATATGTCTTTTTGCGGACGACACTAGCTTCACTTGGAGCAACAAGGACATCACGGCACTTCATAGGATTATATCAAATGACTTAATCACCATTAAATCTTGGTGCGATTCGAACCTCCTGAGTTTCAACATTTCTGAAACTAAAGCTTTGTCGTATAAAAACTCGTTGCAGCCTTTTGTACTTAACAACACCACCATTGACGTTGTTGTGGACAATTCTCTGAAATGGGACATACATATCGAAGCTTTGTCGAAAAAATTGAGCTCTGCCTGTTTTGCATTAAGGTCTGTTTCTAAGGAGCTTAACTTGTCAGTGGCTAGAACTGTTTATTATGCACTTTTTGAGTCGCACCTCAGGTATGCCCTTCCATTCTGGGGTACGTGTTGTGCGGCTCAATTTGACCGCATTTTCAAGCTCCAGAAGAGAGCTGTTCGATATTCACTGGGACTAAACAGCAGAATTCATTGCCGGAGCTTTTTTAGAGAATTAAAAATATTGACTCTTCCTTCCTTATTTATATTTGAATCCGTTTGCCTAATAAGTAAACATGTATCAGCTTCTCAAGAAAGGCCAGCTCACACTTATCCACTCAGGAACGCGGAGCAAGATCTTTATCTACCTACCCCACGCTGAGAGTTAGTTAAAAGTTCAATATTATACAACTCGAAAAAAATGCACAATCACCTGCCATTTGAAATCAAATCCATAACATCATTTTTTTCATTTCGCAAAGCATTGAACTCTTATTTACTATACAAGGCTTTCTACGCCGTAAATGAATTATATTTGAATTGAAAATCGAATTTGATCTTGAAACCACTGGTCTAATGTTTGCTATTGCTATATTTACTAATGACATCGAAATTAATTTATTTAGAGGTCATTGATATTTTGCTATAAACTGGCTAAATATTTTTGAATATTATTTTAAATTTTTTGTTCTTTGACATTGTAAACATTTATAAATGTTTATTTTAACAATAAGACTGACAATATTATTTATATAATGTTTTGTATTATCTTTTGTTTGTTTGTTTGTGTACCTTGTTTTTTTTCTACTTTGTTTGTTAGTTTACCTTTGTCTACAAATTGAAAAATTTTTTGACAATAAAGGCATTTATTTATTTATTTATTTATTTATTTATTTATCCCCTGTATATGATTTTATGACAAATTTTGTATCCCAAAAATACAACTTTTGATTATACCATTCTGACATAAACAATTTTAATAAATCTTCTGAAAATTATCAACATCAAAGGTATATAAAACAAAATTTTTATATAAAGTTAAACGAACGCTAAGCTCTCTTTGACAAAGGTCTGATCATGGCAGGAATTGCCAAAACCGGTCACTAATAAAGAACTTTTTTGACAGTGGTTTGGACTTTGTTTTTGATATTAACATTAAGTTTTTCACCCTGGGTCACCACTTTGTGATAATGAACAAATTCTATAAAAGATAAGGAAAGTCCAAAAAATTGACGTCAATGAATTGACAAAATTGGCTAAAATTTTTCGATCGATAATTTTAGAATCTGTATCAATTAGTGATGCGCATTACGATTCTTTTTAGTGAAGCGAATCACACGATTCAATTTCTCGTATTAAATCGACTCCTACGATTCGTTCATATTATTTTAACAAAAATATTAACGTGAAAATTAAATGCGTTACATATACTATTGTAATAAGGACAGTATAAATAAGTTTTTTCTTGCAAATAACTTTCCTATCGTTTGAATTTTATGCCCATGCTATTTGTTTGGGGCTTTTGTTTAAGTATAAATATCGGTACCCGACACCCGACCGATCAAGACCGGTCACTCTATGTCTACATCACCGCCGGCGCTGTAGAAATAAATCAGTTGCATTGTGATCCCGATTCAATTCTTACGATTCTTTTTCAGGGCTCACCGTTCAGATCTTATGGATCCTTGCTGCCGTGCTGGCCACGATTCAATTGAACGAACCGTATTGTATGTAATGCATTAACTCTCACGATTCTTTGAACGTCCGAGTCACATTATGATCCGATTCAATTCTCACGATTCTTTTTTAAGACTCATCGTTCAAATCTGGCCACGATTCATTTGAACGAACCGTATTGTATGTAATGAATTAACTCTCACGATTCTTTGATGAACGACCGAGTCGCATTATGAGCCAATTCAATTTTACGAATCTTTTTAACGGCTCATCGTTCACAATTTTTGGATCCGTGCTAGCACGATTCACCTAAACGAACCGTATCGTAAACAATGAATTAATACTCGCGAATCTTTGTGATCCGATTTAATAATTCTTACACCTCTTTTTTACAACTCGTTCTTTCAAATACAACAAAACAGTAATACAACACCGTCCCGGCCACGATTCAATTGAATAAACCGTATTGCAAATGGTGAATCTCACGATTCATTTTTAATACTCGTTAAGTGAACAACCCGTTCAATCTTTGCTCACCTCTAGTACCAATCACTATTTCTAACATCCTATAACACTCTGTATTATCTACTAATTATTTCAATCAATGCTGATCCCTCCGCACTTTCTATGATGATTTTATACTTACCATATACTTTCTTGGTTTTCTTCTAGATGGCACATCTCATCGTCTAATATTCGATAAAACCCTCCAAGTCCGTCAACTGAATGTGGTTGAGCCGCACGGAATTTTGCTGCTTCGAGGAGGTTCTTCCAGCAAAGAGTGCAAGATTTACGTGTTCAGGCTTTCACAGATTAGCGGCGCTACTGATACCAAGAATAGGCTCGACTTGAAAGACCACCGAATGGAAAAAACACGAGGGACGCATCTGTATACTTTATCAAGATCAGGTAAGTCTATTCTAAAATTTAGAAATTGTTCGAACTCTATAACAGTAAAAGATAATGCAAAAAAGGAAAGCTGGGATACAATGATATTTTAGGACAAATAGTTGGCAATATAGCAAAATATACTAAGTGACATTAAAAATCGAACACACACTAAATATTATTTAATTTTAATGAATGTTTGTAAGCATATTTATTATTGTATGGATAAGAAATGATTATAATTTGAACGCCGTCAACACACTAGTTTTTGTGCTATACATGTTTTTGTTAAAATTTCAGTCATCCAATATAAACCCGGCTTTCGCACAGTTTGTTACTTATTCTGCTACAGAGTAGTTTCAGGTGATTTCCTGAGTTTATTATAATGCCTAGAATACGTAGACGTGCCGATTTTAGACAACTCAGTGATTTTGATAGGGGTCGGATTGTAGGTTTGCGGGAGGCAGGATTATCATTTCGAGAGATTGCTGATAAGTTCCATAGAAGTGTTTGCACTGTTGCCAATTGTCGTACAGCTGACTTTCAATAACACCGTGAACATCGTGCCAGAGGTACAGGGCGTCTAAGATTAACCACTGAGGGTCAAGATCGCCGTTTAAGGTAATTAGCTGTCAGAGACCGTTCGGCCACTTCCCAAGCAATTGCTAACCAATGGTTTACGGAACGCGGAAGACTCATCACGATGCGAACTGTTTACCGACGAATACGGTCTTTTGGGCTGTTTTCTTTTCGGCCTCATTGGGTTTTACCATTGACCCCTGAACATCGACGACAACGTCTAGAGTGGTGCAGACCCCACAAGAATGGGGCGCAGAATGGAATGCTATCGTTTTTAATGATGAGTCGCGATTCTGTTTGGGAATGCACAACGGTCGGGCACGAGTGAGAAGATACCGTGGAGAAAGGCGGAATCCACAGTTTTTCATGGAGAGGAACGTAAACTAAATTGTAGGAGTTATGGTTTGGGGAACAATCGCATATGATAGCAGGTCACCTCTAGTATTTGTTCGATGTAATATGACAGCCCAACGCTATATTGAAGAAATTGTGAAAGCTCATCTCTTACCATACTTACGAACGCTCCACGATCCTATACTTCAACAAGGTAATGCCCGTCCCCATGTTGCTAGATTAACTGGGAACCACTTACATAATGCTCAAGTTAATCTCCTACCCTGGCCACCAAGATCTCCAGATCTCTCACCAATTGAACATGTATGGGATATCATGGCTAGGAGACTGACAAACTTACCGCATCCTCCTCAGACACTAGAAGCTCTTGGGCATGAGATACAGTTAGCATGGGATGAAATACCGCAAGAAGACATAAATCATCTGATTAGTTCCATGCCCAGACGGCTCAACGAATGTGTAGAAAATCGAGGTGGTCCAACACATTATTAACAAGGACAAGATAACGAGCCAATGTTTTCACTCCAAATTTTGATCATTTACGCCTTTTGTCAACCTACATTCATGTGCAAAAGATTATTAAAATTAAACAATTTTTAGTGGGTGTTCTATTTTCAATGTCACTTAGTATATATTCTTCGACAGAGACATTGTTTTATTTCTGAAATTTTACAACGTTTTGACCAAATATATCGCTAACCTATTAACTCCGAACTAATGTAAAACTTAAAACTACTGAGCTTTGCCTTTAACAACTACCGTGCGGTATACGGAACGCCGGTAACTATAAAATATTTTAGTCTACATCATGACAACACAGGATAAATGCATAGTGGGGAGCTCGGTACCTCTCAGATTTGTGACGACAAATATTTTTAGACAGATGATTTTCGATGCTTTTCTCAAGTTGTTAGCTATTATGGTCAGTTTCAGAGTCGTATGCTTTCGAATGACCCAAAAACTTAAAGATTTGGACTAAAATCTTCTAGATTATAATGGCGGTATAAAATTTAGAAAAAATGTTACGAGTCAGAAGATACAATTGAAGTTAAATAGATGAATGGAGAAGATTCTGAATCAGACCAAGTTTTTCAAAAATTTGGCACAAAATTTGATTATAGAACTTCATTTCCAAACGAATATCGATAAAGGGACTTGATTTGCCCACTAAAATTTAATATGATCCACCGGACGATCTATATATCTATCTATTCAGCCTTCTTCGGCCCATCGTTGGACATAGGCCTCCCCTAATCTCTTCCACTCTTCTCTCTCTGTCACCGTGCTCATCCATCTCGTGCCTGCATGTTTCCTCAGATCGTCCGCCCATCTCATCTGAGGTCTTCCTCCACTTCTAACCGGACGATAACAACATAAAAATGACAAACAACCTGCTGAAATATCCACCAAGGTTATGAAGATAGACTCCTTATGGATATGTGTTTTTAAAAGGGGTAGAATATATCCAATAACGAAAAAACCTGCACTGATTTTATATAAGATAGGCAATAAATTTAAATACCCTAAAATACAAGGGGGTTCTATTGTAAGAAAAAACTAGGAGGACCTATTCTAAGAAAAAACTTTATATGAATATAAATGTCCTAAACATTTTAACTTTTTAGATACAGGGTGGTAAAATTTTCTAAATTTTTCAAAATATATCTGATGGTATATTTGATACACGTCTTCCATGCACCAAAATGCTTATTATGATAAACAAAAAAAATTGTTTTATTTCTTAATTTTCTTCTAGCCGATGCATCATACTTTCAGCGATATGACCCTGAATTAAATTGACTTTAATTTTTTTTGACGTATAGCGTCGAACGAAAAATATCAAGAGATAAAAAATGTTTGGAAATAAATGGAGATTTTGAAAATAATTTTTGTTTTAAGAGAAGTCAGTGGTGTACCAGTTTTTTCTCCAAAAATATTCAATGCAAAACACGTATGGGCGGCACTGGTTGAAATAAATAAAATACTTTGTAGGAACGCTCTGTGTATTTGTTATGATGCTACCGTATGATCGAAAACAAACGGCGTCCAGTTGGCTTGGAAATGACGATCCATGCCATTCCCTATATAATTTTACATATAAAATGACAGCGATCTTCATTTCATAGCCATCGTTGACGCCGTTTTTATTCGATCATACGGTATTAAGTTTAATGTATTTCGGTATTTTTCTTATTCTTTAATTAATTTATGAATATGTAATGGAATAATGAGCGAAAGAAAGGTTAGTCACCGCGTTCTGAATGATCTATTGTATCCCCCTTCTTTATCATCATACAGTCTATAACTCATCGTACCTGGTGGGATTTTCCTGTTTAGGGGGGACAGGTTATTCCCATCTTCCTCTGACAACAGATGTTCTTCCTTTTAGGAGTGGACATCTACCTCCTAGGACGGTATACACCCTTCAACGGTTGGGGTTTGGCCCACAGTCGAGGAGCTTGTCTCCGGTTCAGGTGCTAGTGAGGTGGAGGCTGGAGGATCTGTCTCCATTTTCTCGTTAATCCTAGCTCTTTAACTTTGTCTCTCCTTAGATCTGATACTGGTGTTGTCCTGAATATATAATAGAGACTTCTTTCTCTATTTCCTCCTTGGATTTGAGATCAATTGCTATTGTGAAGACCTAACCATGGCCTCAAGTTTGATGACTCCCCAACTCGATGGCCTTACATTGGAGTTCTGAGCTCAGCAGGTAGGTGGAGTCTTTCCCCTTGCGCCTCGACAGAAAGACGACATGCTGGTCGCATCTTTATGGATGTTTTCTTCCTTTACTGCAATCAGTCCCGGCCCCTGCAATTCGTCAGCTTAGGTGCCGGTCCGACCAATATATCCGCCGATCCTTGGGATACACAATCTACGACTAGCATGCTCACCCAAAAGTGTATCCCTGCAAATCGCAGCTGACCCACATTTTGTGGATCCTTGTATTGCAATCCGCTCGCTACTACTTCGTCCAGTATCGCCTCTTCTAGAGCCGTTTGCTGGTCGGTGGTCAGTGCACTCTCTGGGTAATCCTTTGGCAGTGTTACCATTTTCACTAGTCCAGCAATAGCGACAAAGCTTGTAATACGTTTCTGCTTGCTTTTCGGTGTTGGATGGCTTTTCATCCTGGTCAGAGCAGAGCCGAAACTGGTTGCAGTGAAGGGAGAAAACATCCCTAAAGGGGCGGCAATTACGGTCTTTCTGCCAAGGAGCAAGGGGAAAGACACCACCTACCTGCTGAGCCTTATCCAGGGTCAGAACTTCAATGTAAGGACATCGAGTTGGCGAGTCATCAACTCGAGGGAGGAGGGTCATGGTCAGGTCCTAACAATAGTAATTGACCTCAAATCCAAGGAGGCAATAGAGAAAGAGGGATATATCCTCTATTATATATACGGGACAACACCGGTATCAGGTCTAAGGAGAGACCAAGTTAAAGAGGTGGAGAAAATGGAAACAGATCCTCCAGCCTCCACCTCACGGGTTCCTCAGCCGGAGGCAAGCTCCTCGACTGTGAAGAGCGGCACGGAGTGCCAAACTCCAACCGTGGAAGGATGTGTACCCTCGGAGGAAGAACTGTTGTCAGAGGAGGATGGGAAATACCCTGTCTCCTTTACAACAGGGGTATGATGGATTATAGACTGTGATGACTCAAGGAAGTGGGCACAATAGATATCTAAGGTCGCAGTGATTAACCCCCCCTCTTACTCATTCTACATTCTACATTCTTCTCGCTTCCTCTCTTGCACTTTTGTGGAGATGTGCCAGGCTGTGTCTTTTTTTTTACTCACCCCTTTTTCGAGTAGTTCTTTGGCTTTTGCTTCCTCTGAAGCAAGTCCTTTGTGGAGTAGTCGAAGGTAACCCCGTACTTCTATTTCGGTCGTCTAGCTGGCCTGACAGGTAGAACAACCCATAGCTTGTGTCGCTTGTTGTGTCTAGAGGTAGGCTCCGGAGCCTTGCTAGAAGAGGTTGTATGCCACTTGTGAAGGCTGGTCTACTGCAAGCGTCAGCCGCCTCTCCTGTAATTCCTTTTGGGGTTGATCCCTTGAAACTTTCATTCACAATAATTGTGAAAATTTCAAAATATC